CCAGCAACGTTGCAAACGTTTGATAGCCTGGCCAATACTGAATAAGGTAGAAAGAAAATGAAAATATCTGTGAGATAATGGTTGAGTTAGGTTGTATATCATAAGTTGAGAACGTTTGATTAAGTTTTTATCAGCGTGATTTTTTTCAAGCTTAAATAAGCCTTCTCCGGCAATTTTCACATGTTCACCAACTGTCAGTTGTTAAGTAATATTGACTCAAAATTGGCCGACTACAATGCAAAATGAAACTATCGGCAGTCAACAAAAGCATTCACTTTGACTTCAGAAATTTTGTCTTATCTTACATTATAAGTGTTTGAAAAGAGTTATCTCTCGCCAAACAGTTATCGTTTCCAAAAGTTGTTAAATTACGGTTAATTGAAAACCGAAGGCCATTGTTCTGGTCAAGCAGAAAAGCCCCATACGCAGTGTCTAGTTCAATAAAGCCGTTTCCGTTGTTGCTCCGACCGGTACTTCACGGCATCACAACGGCTAGCATGGTCAGCAAGTTCACTTAATAACAGCCAATTTGTTGGGAAGACTGCAAAGTACAAGTTGTTTGGGCATGGCATACGCAATACTCGTAGTTATTACTAACATATAGAACAAAGTGAGAATTTTATTCGATAGTGTGCTTGCTGAATGTTGATTGCTTCCTCTGTACCATTCATATTTCTCTTGAACCAATAACGAAACTCTGTGACTTGAAGCTAAGATCTGGTCAGTTTATGTGACGATCTGAGCTTACAGGTCACCTGACTGCAGAATATATGGCACCAACAATTAATGTTAATACGATCATACGGGGCTAAACATGAATTTTATCTGAAGTTGCATGTCACAGTTAGTGATGTTTGCTTCGCGACTTACGCAGTTTTCATTCGCCAGAAGTCAGGTTAAAAAAAATAAGGTTAAATAAAAGGTTGAAGTCAAGTTGAATAAAATAGGTTAAAAACTTCCAAAGCGACGGAAATTTCATCGTGCAGTTCGATTATACATGATATATATAATGCTCCTAGTCAGGACTGATATGATCCTATGTTGAACAGAATGGTAAGAGTACCATCGGTGTATCCTAACTTAGTCGTCTCGAAATAGGTTCGACTTCAAATCAGGTTCACTCTCGAGCTTCTGCTTAGTCGTAGGCTGAGACATAGGCTTAAACGAGACGAGAATACATCAGCACCCAGCACTATGTGGTTCACTAGCAGTCTAATGGAATCTCGTTCATTGATTAATGCTGCAATTCTCGAAACATAACGAACGATTGAAACAATGTAATAAAAACATTCACTTCGTTATTTTTGCGTTATTTCGAAAAATAATCTTGTGTGCTTTTGCATCACGAATTATCCTCCTTATCATACTGATTCTAACTGTTCTCAGAGTATTGATATTTATTTGTCAGTGTAATTTCATTAAGAGCTGCTGAAGAAATTTTTATTGATCAACTAATGAATGAACTCGACATAATGGATGGACATAACAAGGGGTCGAACGCCTACATCAGAGACCTTCAAAAAATCATTCAGTCGCGAATTTTCAAGTCCGAAAAAAGTCTATGCTTGTAGCAATTACAATGCAAATTGACAGCAACCATAAGTCCACTGGAAACAGATCGCATTTTCAACAAATGCGCACTGAAGTGATGTGGTTTTAGAATGACTGAGTGATCTTGAAGTGAAAGTTAAAAGAGACAAATCGGTAACGTTATTACGTACATCAAAAGGTAAATGAAGAACATGAGCCGACGCACTATATAGAGCTGTTGGGCTATATGCCCAAGCTCAGAGTTCAACGGGTGTGATAGAGATTTTCGGGGTTGCTGTGATGTTGGTACGGTCGGAGATGCATCCTCTAGTGCAATTTCGTTGCTGTCGACATGATTTCTAAACGTTGGATCGTCATCTCCTCTGTTAGATTCAGATTCCATAACAAGAATACTCGATGGATTCTGGTCTGGATCAATCGTCGCAAAACTTTCCTCTTCACTTTCACCAGTGAGCAATCTGAAAGCACACACCAAAAGACATAGACGAGCGCCTACATATATGAGTATACGGTTGACCGTTTATACAGCCTCTTCGAAATGTGAGTTTGATGATATTTCTCATCGACAAAATGGTTCACTGCTAATTTTCACAGTTTTCGTTTAAGATCTTAAAAGTAATACGGCAATGCCTGAGCACAAATCAAGTACTTACTGCTGTGGATCAAACGAGAGCCCTTTCACCTTGAACGGACTCATTTGACGAAGTCGTTCCGTAACATTAGTCAACTGTAAAAATTTTACGTTTCATATTCACAAGTCATTTTGGGAATGCTTTCTGTATGGAAACTGAATNTATTGGGCTGTGATTATCACTGAATAATTTAGATCATGCTGGGAAAATCCGAAGATATCGCTCAACAATGACTTTTACCGATGTTGAAAGGTTGAAGTGTCTTGCCTGGAAGGGTAATTCGATATCGTCAGGGAGTGTATTCTCCAGGTAGTTTATGATAACGTGCAAAACGAATGCGATTGCCGTTAGAGATAAGTTGAATCCATACAATGAAACTGAAAGAAACAAAATCTAATTCCATTACAATGAAACTGCCATTTTTCACGGACTGTAGACCTCAGCCAGCGATGAATATTCATTTGGAATTGGTAAATGTGAAAATTTGCGAAAGATCAGTACAGTGCGTTTCATGAGATCGATAATGTATGACTGCGTGATATTTGCTCTCTGCGTGATCAAGTAGAACTAACCAATCTTGGGAGTAGTTCCACTTCCAGGAGGTAGTTTCCTGATAAGGTCCCATCCGAACAAACCTTGAAGGAGGATATTGAATGTGGTAACTGCGATCGCTAATGAAGACGTGTCAATCCAAAACACGGCCAAAGTCAGCACACTTGTTACTAACTGAAGTTCAGAATGCGAGTTATAGATGTTGAGAAATGAAACGCTAAAATTTCCCTACAAATAAGTGAATTGGGCCATAAAACTGGCTCTGATCACGGAGATGTATCGTTGACAAGTCACTCGCACACACGTTCTCCGGTTGCTAGAGATCGATAAGTTTAAAAGATGTCAACTTCAATAAATCTTCCGCATGGAATCGACAATTTATTACTGAAGTCTGATTGACTATTTTGAGCCATCCGTTTCATTAGTAACCAGCGATTAAAACTGAATTTATTCGACGCATTTAGATACGTCAATCGACGTTTGATTCATTTGATACGTCAATCCACGTTTGATTCATTGGATGAAAAAGATATTCGAATGAATAGGCATCCCAGCAACCCGTAACCGACAATGTGATTGTTCTCAGTTTTTTTTNTTTTTTTTCATCTCATTCATAATTCGTTCATATCAAAGAAACGCAATTAGAGAACGTCTTATCGGAATATCAACGGGAAATTCATCACTCCTCTTTTGGCGAATCAAAAATTTTTTCATGTCCATATTACCAGATTCAAGCTGAACATCTCCTATACCTCACATTCACTGCGAAACGAATAATTTTCTTGCAAATACAGCTTCAATGCATTCGCACTGTTCAGACTATTTTCACAGGTACAACTTACGCTTGGTAGAAGGACAGTTAAACCAAAATACGGCGCTTGTCGCTTGATTCTGATGCCGAATTCAATCAGAGACCAAAACCATTCAGGCTGAAACGTGGAAAAGTTCACTGCATGTTTCATTATGGAGATGAGTTTCACAATTTTGTATTACCAAGAGCTTTTTGAAGACAGCTGAAAATTTAGTTCTGGAATAATACAGAGCAATATTAAAATTTGAGCATGAAATTCAATGCCGCTCAAAAAACACCATGAAAGCGGTGAAAAAGGCTGTACCTGCCCTTCGGGTGGTTCATCTTTGCAACCAGCCGGACCCCAATAGCACTGTCGACGCCATGTGTCTCGAACCTCCCAACCTACAAGATCACTGTATTTTTCCAAGAACTTATGCACGGAAGTCTTTAGTTTAGGTGGAACGTAATTCATCCCTGGCAAGGAAAATGCACACAAAATATTTTCGTTAAAAATTCACTTGAAATGATTCGCAAAAATATGAATTGCAAATCCTACGGAATGATGATAAACGTGAAGAGATCAGGATTATGATAATGAAAATCAAAAAATATGCTCTGAAGTTTGCTTTCCAGTTTTCGAAGTTGCATTTCTTCGATTTTTTCAATGAAAGCCATTTTCAACGAATTATTTTCAAAAACTTCCGATTCCTCATCAAAATTTGTTTGATGACCAGCAAGAAGCTGAAATAAGAAAATGGTCAGAACCCTTGATTTGAAATATCGGTTACCTCTCATCAATAATCTCCTATTCATGATGTTAGTGATCTTGAACAATAATTTCGATCGAATTATGTGACCTTCTTCTTTTTCTCATATGGCCGATAATAACTATTCAAAATGTAAATTGCTTAGTTCCGTTGCCCTTTAAAATTCTTGAAGCAGATTTAAATATGCACATTGTTATTTTTAATGGTGCGTACTCAGAATTATTTAAAACTAATGATGAGGCGGCGATTCACGGCAACTCATAATGATGAGCATAAGTCAAATTGCAGCAAATGTGCTCTCAAGATAATAGTGCCCTCATCGCTGAAACGCTTCTTATCTCTCGTTTACAACGAATCATCTTCTGGCTTATTCAATTAATTCGATCCTCTCAAATCAACACTTTCACATTTTGTTGACTTTCTTGCATTAATTGAAAGTGTCTTATCAGTATCTTCACCATCCACTGTATAATTATTTATCGTCTCGTTTCATCGATTAAAGCCACACATTTTTAACTACGTCCAAAAATGTTTTTCTTGAGTGTGCAACATTGCAAATTGATCCGAGGGAAAACAACGATCAGCGCTTTTATCATCCCTAAAACTATCAGACTCTCTCTCGTCTATTGATTGAGGACACATTATGAAAGCTATCCGAAGCACATCAAAGTGCTCTCTTTTGAATACAAGTATCCTCCTTATACCTAATAGTACTTTTAACGAATTCACTCACGTCTAAGACAATTCACATGAGGTCTTTATTTGAGAATTTTTCGCCGTGGTAATTTGCACCATCCAATGCAATTGTGCCGTAAAAAAAAGTCAATTTAAAAAGCACATTCGCGGTAAATCAAAAACAGTGAATTAGTGATGATATATCGGGTGGAATGGGCGGGCGTGATTTCGGAGACTAAATATAAACGAACGATGAATTGTGCGGCTATCATCGCCCATCGTCGTCTAGCTGAGTGGTTTTAATTGGATTAGGATGGATGGAAGCGATTAACGAAACGATATCATATCCCTAGAATATAACCGTGTTGATTGCAGAATTGGAATCCACTGTTTACGTTGTACACACTAAGCCGTTGTTGCCTCAACGCCTCGTGTTCTCCTCGACGGTGATATTCATTTGATATGACTTCATTAACGAAGACAATCGTCGCAATGTTGTACTGTATTGTTTTTGTTGATTCGCTGTTCATTCCACTAACACAACACCAAATTGCACCACCATTCAACCGTGAACGATATAGTGATGGGTGAGTGCATCACTCTCTTCTCAGTGTATTCATACTTAAGAAACATGTTTGCTTGCTTGAGAGGATTCTAATGTGATGGTTAAGTTACAACACGGACGTATGGCTGTGACTCCAGCTAAGGCCGGAAGCGCTCCGGGAAGAGCTTCCTAACGCTTACGGGACGATTGAAATGTTGCGCCTGATTGGTCTGACGAGTGCTTCATGCATCACTTCATTTTAAGTACATCACTTCCGTGATCAGACCAGACAGTAACTCTGATCATTCCCAATCAATAGTTCCATTTTCTAAGATGAATTCGAAATTTTGGTAGAGCGTTTGTGCAGCTTCTCTCAGTCTTTTTCAACGTATCCCCACTTGAACAATTCCGTCCGGCATCATCTTCTTCCCCATGCTCTTGTAGAAACATCTCGACGGCAGCGCAAAGCATAAGCAGGAGCTAACACTGTCCTTATTCCAACAATTTCTTTATCATTTTTGTTTTCGCATACGACTGGAAACGGCCAATGATGGCAAGCTGACGGATACGACTAATTTGAAACAGCTATCTGCGGTTTAATTTTCAAAAAGAATTAACCGAAAATAGTATTCTCGACCATGCAAACAGCAGAGATATTTTCTCGTGGCTTTTTACATGCTGACGTGGAGCGAAAATCGCTTTTATAGAAGACACAATCTTCAATGAATGAATGTTAAGAAGTTGCTTCTGATATGTGCTGTTTCAGTCACGGCTCGCGGACAAAAAAGTGGTACGATTGGAACGATGAAGACGTACGAATGGATAAGAGATGGTACCGGCAAATTGATACACTTTCCGTTCCGTTTGCAACACCCTAAAAAAATTAATCCCGACTCTGTATCTTCAGAGCTTCAATATTTGTTAGCTTCAGGGTGCACGTCTTTATGCAGAAGTGTGCTTGAGCATAGAAATGAATGAATGACAAACTTTCTTATTGTTTTGAGAGCGATTTTATAAATGACTAAAAGAGGAAGCAGGAAAAAATGCGAACTTTTGGTGCGCTTCCTTTTTCTTTGTTTATTAAGCTTCATTTGTTTTCTTATGCACCTTCTGAAGCGAGCTGTCGATTTAGAATTGCGTTGTCATTGATAAGATTATTCTTTCGATGAAAAGCAACGCCATCGTGCGATAAGAAAAGTGCAAAGTAATTAAAGGATGAACTAAAGCGCATTTATAGATAAATTGGAGGTACTTTTAAAATCGAAAGTATCAAAAAAAAAGACTGCTTTTTCACTTAAGTGCATTTTCAATTGCTCATGAAGTAAATCATGCCGGTCTCATGATATTCTTTCAATGATAACAGATTATAGTTCATGATGGTACCGTGATAAGAGAGTAGCCAACGAGTATTAGCGATGAATCGATCGCGGGCTCATAGGGCATGCACTTTAGCAGTGGAGCATTCATTCTATCGCATGCGATGATGCACGTCAACAATCTGGCACACAGAAACAATTCATTCGAAATTTTGTTTCAGAATTGCAATTTAAAGCATAGAAACCTTTCAGGTATGACTGGGAAAATTCACCATACAGCGGATCTGTTGAGGCAGTGAAAAGGGATGACAGCATTTTCGAGTATCCGATCATACCGAGTTCATTCTTTGGCTATTGATGGAACGCCGTGATTCTTTGCAGAGGAACTGCATTCATTTGTCGTGTTAATTTGAGTCTCAAAGGATCGAAAATGATTGCGATCAGTTTTATTCAGTAAAATTCCGTGCATTGATCTCATGAATAATGGGTTGTAAGAACCGATTGAATTATGACAATGACTTGTAAATAGACAGGGTTTCCACTCAATAAACTTGTTCCATTTCATTATCTTCGTGTTTTGCTGTTTCTTTTTATCTTTGATGCACAACAAAATGCAAATTGGCAGTTATCTAGTAAAGATTCACGGTGATAATGGGCAGTTTTATGAGACATCAGAAGAACTGAGTTGCTCTTGGACGTAACTTGTCATCATTCTCAGAAGTGACAATCTGTTAAATGATGGCTATATTTTGGTAAATTGAAGACTGTTCTTGCTTAATCAGTCCTTTCCTCTGTTAATACACTCACCATAATTATACGTATCAATTCAGAAAAATTGCNGTTCATTTTATCAGTTGGTACCAACAAACATGTTGACGACTGAACGATATTCGATCACTAATTTTAATGGCTTATGCTCTTAGTGGAGAGCAAACACTTTACTGTATTTAAGCTGTCAGCCCACTCATGATAACGATCAGAGTATCTCTCTCGTCCAAAAATCATTGAGCGATGATAGTGAAATTAAAAAGAATCGTCAACAAACCTGCAGCATGTTTTTTTGGATTAGTGTTGCTTAGCGGATCGTAGCTTAATTTCACGGCTGGCTTATTCCACGGAGTGTTACCGGACGGATCCGACAGATTCACTTTCGAGAGATCGTAAACCCAATCCGCAATAACAATTGGACATTCCTGAGAGCATTTGACCACAATGAATACGCGTTCAATGTTGCTATCAAATTTCAACTTTTTGGTGCAAACGATCGCCGAGTCATTCACTCGATGTTTGAAACGTTGCAAACAAAAGCCAAATGGCACACTGGATGGAAAATTTTTCGAGCGTTCAAACCAGTTGCATTCGTTCATTTCATTCAATACGAGTTTTTGAGACTGCTCAAACTTCTGAGATACTGATTGAAAGTAATGAGTGAAGTCAGTGACAGGGGCACAATATCGATCATTTGACGTTGACATTCAAAAACTTTCGGATCGTGCTCAGCGCCGGTTCACTGACTGTGAGAAAGAGTAACACGAGAGACGATTGCAAATGATTTCAAGTCATCACTAAAGCTCAATTGGCTATTAGAGAATATATAAATTGCGAAGAGTGATATCGTTCACCTGTTCATCGAATGGATAATTTGTGAAGTCGAACATGCACGTAACATAAAAACTGAACGAGCCAGATGACCAAACTTTACCGTCACTATTTACTGATGCCGGTAATCCACCCATATGCAAAAACCAACTGTTTCCTCTTGCACTGAAATCGAACATTGAATCAAATATGTGTATGCATCAATGCTGATTTGTTTTCATTGCGAAAACATTATACGTCCTTTCACATTTTTCATATGTACCAATTTTGGAATGCTACAATGATTTGGGAGCTTTTTGACTCAAAGAGCAATTTAAATTAAAAGTCATTTGATTACGTAGAAGATGAGTTCAGAAATATATGCTCGGTTATAAAGCGAACACGTGGGATAGTGCAAAGGTGATGAATTCTTTCTCAGACGTGCCCAACGAAGCGTTTTCAAATTTAATGCACCTGTTATATAGTGATAAAGATGGTTGCCAAATTTTCCAGCTTTCGATTGCAATTCTTCGAGTATTATTGTATTTGGTTGGATCCCATCGCAAGTATTCATCGACCCATGTTGCCCACAACAAACCATGCAACATCATCGTTTGTTCGTGCTCATCCTTTAATCATCCAATCAACCATTAGCGCATCCATACTTAATAACCGATCGCACAATGAGCGAAGAAAGTTTTTGCGTAAAGCAGACAATGCAACCGTCATCAGATGCTTGCAAACATTCACGTATCATCAATGAAAATCTACATCAGCCGAATACAACTCACCACTTTTTCAACATGGCTGATCAGCAAATAAATTTGTATTTGCGTGACTGTTGATTCTTTCTTAACGGGTCTATGCTTTCGATTGTATGTTTTCATCAACGAATCCTCCAATGCACGATTCGATTCTGTTGCCCATAAATGAGCGCCACCGACGTAAAGGGCTGCTGAAACGGAATACGGATAGATCAAAGTTCCATGAACCAAAAGTTCAGAATGTCACTTTGAAAAAAAAAATCGTCAATGCTTTAGCAAAATGACTAGTATTGAGTGATAAAAGTAGGCATCAAACATACTAACCAACTAACAGCAAACCAGCATGCAGACGCATCATGATCAATCAACTAGGCGACTACCTTAGTTTCCATGTTTCATATTTGCTCTGGACCAACGTGTGAACGAAATCCGATATTCATGGTGAGCAGTACACTCATTCAAATACTGTAATTTCATACCGTCTGTTTATGACTTTGCGGCGAATATAAACAATCGACGAGCATCGGTTGGGGTCATTCGATAAACAATTCGTTCAGTACGCCAACTGCTAGAAATTCCACATCACATATAGTGATACAAATGTTGATTGATTGCTTATCGGCACGATGAAATCTTTCCACGACGTGATCGTTGCACACAAAAAATGTTATTTTTTCATGGTTTCTTCGCTGATCGCCTTGCAGACAAATGTGAGTGAGCAGCAGCAAAATGAAATCACCTTTACAATTCACGGAATACTTTTCGAAGCTTCATCTTTTCGTGCTCCATTTATCGCTCGCTTTCAATTGCTACCTAATGGATGAAATTCTTCCGAGATGGTCTATGTGATGGCCAAGAGATCATTTCATCTATCATCCGAATTTGTGAATATGCTATTCGTCGTTGCAAAATTGCGTTGGTGGAATGCAACATACGAACGATAACCAATGACAATACAAAAAGCATCGTACTCTGCCGTTCATCAAATGAACTTTGATTCAACAATTTTTTGGGTCCATGCAAAACAAATGATTACGCCCTCTCACAATACGAAGTTCCAAAATACGTTCATAATTTTATTACTTCAAAAGCATTGCATTGAATTGGCAATGTTTTCGGTTTTCATCGGTTGATTCGGCCGAGAAAAAAGGCGTAAAAATCAGTCATAAGACTGGATTATAATCGGTCGCATTTAATACCAAAAAAGAACCAACTGTAAATATCGCTTTGCGAAGACAACGATGGAAAGTTACGAAACAATATTTTTTGCTCCGGAAATTCAATAAAAATTGTTATGATAAGAAATGAGGTCATGAAGAGCAAACAAAATTGATGATTATACGCTGGAAAAAAGTTGCTTGCATATAATCCTTATCTTATTAATCCGAGCGTTTATGACGTTGCAACCGAATTGAGTCGCATAAAAGAGCATGCGAATAGTCCTCAACATCAGTTCAACTACAATGTTTGACTGTCGAATTCTAATTCTTGCCACGCTTCTGCACTTTGCAGGCTCGGTAGTAATAGACGAGTAAGTTGCAATTGTTTCATTGCTGAAGTTTATTTCGAATTTCTCAAGATTCAAAGCGGATTGGGCGATAAATTTGCTAGAGGCTCACTGAAATTATTGGAAACTATGGAGCACTGAACGAAGTGCGTTTTCATGACGACAGTTTTGTAATTTTCAATTCACTGGCATTCATTTCTCGGACATTGCAGGAATGACCATTGCGATGGCGATGGTCTAACGGTGGGCTGTCGACCACATGCCGAGTTGTCGCATATGATCACTCACCTCAAGAAAGAAGTTTATCGTCTTCAAGCAGCTGTTGATCCATCTTGTACTGTCTGTTGGAGCGGCCCATGCTTGAACGGAGCTACCTGTGTACCACTGAACATCACTCATTACAGGTGGTCACGATTTCTTCACTTTTATTTTTACATTCATCAATCACGATGACTGTTGCAGTTGTTTCTCACTGTCCACGAGCCATCAGAATTGTTTCACTCACTCACTGAAGTTTTCAAATAGAAGTTAGC